TACCCAATTTAGCAACTACACATAATTTCCATATTATTACCTCCTCTTTCGTCGGGAACAAAGACTGAATCTCCCAAGACGTTTGAGAATGAAGTCCTGACACTCAAACTGTATGGATAACCTTTCCGGGGAGCGAGGGCGTTAAGGGGAGGAAAGTGACAGGGACAGCGGAAAACCGGCACGGGTAACACGGCAATGACGGCTTGGCGATTCCACCGCGGCGTTCTTGGCTTGTTTCGGATTGGGCAGTGAACGACAGGGGAATGGATCTGACATCTGGGTCTGGGGAACTGGGTCTTGAAGCTGGGGGTCTCGTCGGATTCCTGCGTTGATGTTATCGTGCGGATCGTGGTGATGACTTTGAAGTTTGCACTTGAGAACTGGTGGTGAGGGTGGGCATTGGGCGTAGTTTTGGGACTGGCGTGCGGACAAATACGCGTAATTCAACGTCCGTCTATGTTGTACAGGTCTAAACGAGTGACAAAAAGCATGGTAAACGATAGGGAGCAACCCTGATTGTGTTCCAATCCTAAAATGAGCGATCCAACCAATACACTGTTCTAACGGCTCCCCTTCCTTCTGCGCGCATCCTCTGCTTGACCCTTGGCGCGTACCGGATTCTCTTATTGCCCCTTGACAGACCTTCCACCAAGCATAGGGATAGCCACTCGGGAGTGCGACATGTCAAATGTCCCAGCTCACACCAATCTACCGGCCCAAGTTTGCTTTCTCATGAGCATAGTCCTCCTGGAACCGGATAGTTTGCAGCTTCTCTGCGTAATCCACAGCTTGCACTTGGGAGTTTGACCTGAACGTGGCTTCGCTATCCCTGACTTGGTTGTTCCACCTGTACAGCTCCGGTCCAGGACCCATGGAAACTGGGCGAGAGAAGCGGTTGTGCTGGTAGACCGAGCCGCGCTTGGAGTCCATCCTGGTGTTCTTAGGAAGGGCCTCGTGGATAGATCGTACGCGAATCTCCGCGGGCTCAGACTCTTCGATCGCTGGGATCTTCTTGTAACGGTAGAAAGCATCGAGGGCGGGGATGGAAAGGCCGTGGACGACGATGGAGAAGACGACGAGGAAGTAGACGACTGGGATCATGGCTGCGACAAGGTTCTCTTCTTCCTCAGTCTCGGCCTCGCCTGGCTTGGGGAAAAGGTGACGAGTGTGCTCGACGTAGAAGACGGCTCCGATACCTGACAAGCGTTAGTTCATGTCACTATCTGAAAGAATCGAGGCAACTTACCAATGGGTCCGAAATAACCCATGAACAGCGCCTCCTTCCAGTCCTTGACAACGTTGGGCATGACCTTGTACATCAGGAAGATGGCTGGGATACGACGGAAAGCGAGGATGAGGAAGCCAAGAATCATGAGCCTTCCAATGGTGATACCGGTGACATCTGGCATCTGGAACTCGGCCCATGGGATGATGGTTCCGATGTACATGAAACCACCGAAGTTGAGGATGACATCGAAACAGCTGTTGACCTCGTCATGACGCTTCTCGGTTTCCTCGAGGTAGACTCCATTCCAGTTCATGACGTTTCCGGCGACGAAGCAAGCGAGGAGGTCGTCCGTACCGAGCGCACCGCAAACGCCAATGGTGAACAAGCCGAGAGCCATAGGCCAGAGCAGAAGACTCTCGGAGTCGATCCACTTCTTGCGCAGGGCGAACTTGACGGCGAACATACTGGCGACGCCGAGGATGACACCGATTGCAACGGACATGACGATGATGTACAGCCATCCCTCAACAATCCACTGTTCCATGGCCATCGGGACACCGCCACCGAGACGACCAACTCCCTCTTCGCTACGCTTGGAGAGCATGTTGACTGCCCGATGAGCGATTTCCTTGGCACCTTCTATGCCGGTCTTAAACTCGACACCATCAAGTTCGGCATGGCGAATGAGGTATGTAGCCAAACTGTCCGACTCGTCAGAGAAGCTTCTTGTGTTGGAGGGTTGTGAGACTTACAGCAGGAAAGGGAAACCGAAACCATCGTTAGCACCAGCTTCCGACGAGATGATTTCTCGCAGCGCGCGAGGAACAAACTTGTCAGCAAAGGGACCCTTGGCTACGGCTTGCGACAAGATAGGATCAGTGCAAGTAACGCAAGATCCGATAACAAGCGCAGCCAAGAAGGTGAGCTTGGGAACCGTGACGAGAATGCACAAGCTAGTGCAGATCCACATGATAGTCATCACAGGGAGGAGGCAGATCGCCATCTCCTTCCACCGGGCTTGTTGGTACTTGGCAGGGAGTTGAAATCCAGCGATGACCAGCTGCACACCAATGACAATTCGGCACATGCCCTATGTGATGCTCAGCAGGGTTCAATATTGGCAATTTGTAAAGTTGTACTCACCAGAGTGATGGCTTCTTGCTGCCCCGTGGCAGCTGAGCCCCATTTCTCCGCATCTAGGAATCTGGCAGCTATCGGTCCTAGGATGACACCGATGAGAACGGCAGGTACTGTAAAGAATGAGTTCACTGCTTTGAGGAACGACGGCGCTGCGTCGGGCGGTTGTGTGCTTACAAGCTTCACCAAGATACCATACTTGCTTGATCTTGACTGAAATGAAGCCGTATAGAATGATGAAAGCGCCTGCAGTCGAACGTCAGTGTTTGCCTGTCGACTTTCGTCTGTCAGACGTACCTAGAACGGCGATGACGATGTTAAGCTCGCTAACATCGAGGGAAGGCATGGTGAAGAGCCCTGTAGGCGAAAAGCGGAAAAGACGGAAGGAGTGTGTTCAAGGATTCATGCGCGGAAGGAACAACAGTAAGGGTTGAGAAAAAAGGGTGTGGAATGAAGACGACCAGCGGGAGCGAGTAACTGTAAATAGCAGACCAGCCGTATTTACAAGTCGATTAAAACCAATATAAGCAAGTGCAAAAAGATGGAGAACGAGGGATTTCCCGGACTGGTTCGGAGAGAATTGCGAGCGCAGTGATAGGGAATGCCAGCCTCGATTTCCAATTTCTTGGGTGCTGAGCCTTGTTACTTCATATCTTTACACGCGTCACGGACACAATGCACTTCGTTGACTTGAAACAGCAGCCGCCAGGACATTCTTGGCTTAGCAGCCACTCCCGCCATTAGGAGGCTTACGACCGGAGCCAAGCGGTGAATGGGCTCTGGCGGATGGTGCCAAGCTCACCTGTAGCGCTAGCTTCGAACGCGACGTGTGGGACTTTCCGCCTTAAGGCTCCCTTTGACCCTGTCATGTTACACCTGTGGACGTCGGGCAAACATTCAAGGTTGAGACACAGGAGCTGTTGAGACATGTTGACCTTGTACGCGGTGATTGGCGTAAATGAGGAACACAGAACGGCGCAGGTTCTTTTGTCCGGCTGTGAGCATTGCGGCTCGGCAAGCGTCTCAACATGACAATGCCGATGGGCGTCTCGATTTGGCGGAGATTAGTGGCTCTGCACAGAGTTTCCCTGCCAAGCCCGCCAAGTCCGCTGTGCCAAATACAGAACAAACCCTGCTAGACAATGGACCGCGACACCCAGTAGTGATGTTGTGCATTGCGACAACGCAACAGCAGAGCCTCCTTTGCAGATCTTTGTCCTGCAGCTGTGGCATCCCGATCGACACTTGGCTTGGGGACGCGTCCGCACGAGCATCATCAGTAATCGTCACCCATTGCAGGCGTGGGGAGATTATGAGTATCGCCCAGCATTTTGATTTTCTCTGGACGCGCGATAGGCCCAGCTAAAAGAAGCACTCAACTTTGTTGGCACAACTGGGCGATACTTGGGTCTCTCTGTTGCCGCGCTGCACATCATGCGGGTAACTATCCCTTGACGCGAGCGGGATGGAGGCTCAGTGCGCCCGGCGATACAGCCAAGCACTCTAACATCATTGATTAATCTGTGAGACCACGATCGTTTGGTGTGTTTTAGTGATCGAGAATTGTGGTTCGCACTGCGAGAGGGCATCTGTTGCCGTATTGCCGAATCACTCAAACAGCGCAGCGTTAGAAGCGAGCCGCTTCGAAGCCGCCTCGAAACTGCTGTCTGAGCCGTCCGCGGAAGATATCCCACCAAGTTACTCACGATACCTGCTGAAGATCTTCCTCGCGTGGAGTAATGACGCCGGTCGAAGTCTGGAAGAGGCGGTGTCATGCAGCATAGTCGACAAGCTCCTTTCTTGGTATGAAGGATCCCGAGGTGTATTGAAACCGATGCGATACCTGCGAGCAGGTCAGTGTGCCATACTGGTTGGTAGCCGGATGAGAATGCTGGGGAGTGCAATTCCTGTCCGCAGTGCATCCCCCGCGCTTGGGCTGCTTTGACCGGCGGAGTGCGTTATCGCTGATAGGCGCCCCATGATCTTCATAACTCTTTCACAATCTGCCGTACAGCACACTGAGAATTATTCTTTTCGTCGCGAGCGTGGAGATGCTGACATGCTGAGTGGGGTGTGGGTGTCGACGGAGTGGTGGCCGTGAGCTATGACGACATCTCACTTAAGTGGGTCCACCTGCCACTGTACAGCTGCACTCCCAGCCTCTTTCCACTTCCCACGACTTGTCCATACGATAGTTTTTAGTGACACCCAGATCAGCCTTCTGCATTCTGCGCCATCTCAGCTGTGTCTTCGCAAGACTGACCATATACTTTTATCGGTATTGAAGATGCGTTGCGCTTTCTTACATCGCCATGTGCTGCTAAGCACTATTCCGTTCTAGGAAATATTGAGGCATGGTAAGGCGTCCAAAGCCAGAAGAGTGGCTAAGCAAGGCACACAAACGCACGATGTTTACACTACGAAAACTCCAATACATATATCACGCACATCGAAATCACCTCTAGTGCGCGTTTGCATTTCCCTTCTCAAAAGTGCGCGTCTTCACCTTCACCTCACCGTTTGACCACCTCCGAGTGACCGCGCTTTGACAGTTTTCGAATTTATAACGGCCGTTGATGTTACGGCCGATCTTCCATATTCCAACATCGAAAAATCAGGCACCTACTAGCACATCATGTCAACCCATACTGAACTCCCTCCCAACACTTCTGAGCCGCCAAAAAGGGCATCGCAAGAGCTCGCAGAGCCCGCAGAGCCCGTTGGGTCCATGGGCCCTCTATCCTCAAGCGGTCTCACCCTCCAAGTCGATTTCGCTTGGTCAAAGTTCCGCAACGTAGTAGCTTCTAAAGGTGTTGATCAACAGCTCACGCCGCTCTACGTTCAGCATTTCCGCCCTGCAAAGCCTCAGTTGCGCTTCGAGCGCGCGTCAGATCAGACCATCATCGCGAAAGGCACCATTCGTAAGTCTGCCTATAGTACATCTAAGACACACTCTGACTCAGTACTCCGACGTTTAGACAGTTTCTCCATCAGTGGCGATTGCATCATCCATGGCCAAGAAGTCATTTTGAAGCCACTGAAACGCTGGAAGACCAAGTACAACTACCTCTCGCATGCGCTTGGCGGCATCCCTATTACCTGGACCGCCAATTCTACCATGAAAGTCTGGGATTTCGTATGCATAAACTCCGCGACCCAGGAATCTATCGCCAAGTTCAGCGTCAATCTATGGGCAATGAAGCAAGTCGGCAACTTCTACTTTGAGGAGACAGAAGAGGAGGTTACGGAGGCTCTGAGAGACGAAGTTGTTGTCACAGGACTTACTCTGCTCTATCTTATGATGACAAGGATGAACAATCCGATTCATTTGCTTGGTGCTGCCTTTGCGAAGCCAGGGAAGGTTGAGGGCGATGGGAATGAAGGTGCGGTAGCACAGGAGAATGAGCCGTCAACTGGCAAAGCAAAAATCATTTGAGATGAGCTCACTATGATTGGCCGTAGGTTGGTGGTAAGGTGGAAGCCGCGAGTGTGAGACAGGTCCAGCTCAAATTCAATATACCCAATAGTCATCGACTACCAGTTCCGTAATATGCTGATAACATTGGGTGGCTTGGAGCGGTCACAAAGTTTATCGCTTTGACTAGGTACCCCGAGTTGCGCATGTGTTCATGGTCTGGTAATGTTAACTTTACTGGCTGCCATTTGAGCTAGCGCGCTTCACGACAGCCCATACCCCGCTGTTTGTATCGACAGCGCAGCACTGCTCTCAACATAACACTAACAGGCCAGCAACAAGATGTTGTAACAAACGTAAGCCTTTGCGGGGTGAAATATCAAGGAGTCCCAAGTCAGCTTAGTTGCCCTGTGCAGCATTGCGGCACGGTCGGCGCCAACGATCAAGGGTCGTGCTAAAATCTTACCACCACTCATACTTGGCTACATACACTTTGGTCGAGGTCTCGATGTACCACGCGCCCGAAAATAATGGGTTGTTACATACCCATGAACGAACAGCTAGTCGGGACGATGACGCCAACCTGGGGCCCGACGCAAAAAGAACTAGACGTCAGCGAGCAGCGAATTCCTCACACCTTTCGAAAGACTGTTGCCTATCGTGCTTTCAACCTCAAACTATGGCAGCCTTTCAGACAGCTACGTGGGACTGCTTCCCTCGATGCTCCAACGCTCGAACAACTGCTGCTGTCTCCTTGCGATGGCCGATCTAATGAAGATCCATTTTCCGTCGGTGGGTGTGATGCTTCTCTGCGCGAACAATTCTCTGCTTATTCTTTGCGCGCAACCACAGACATCATACACGAAGATTTCTTAACGCTACTTCAGGCACATCCGCCACGGAACGCCAAAGCATGCGCTGGCTATCTCAAAGACAGAATGCGCACGGCGTTGCATCGTTCGAAAATCTACAGTCAGAATGAGCGCTTGGAGAGACATCAGCATGTATTCAGAACCGTCTTCTTTCCGCGAATGCTGGCCGTGATTGAACACATCACTGTCGCTGAGGACGGCGAGTTACCAGCACTGGACCTGTGCGTCTATGCCAAACTGGACTGCCTGCATGGATCTTCTCCATTCTTCTCCAACGAGGCTCATCAGAACGCGAATCGTCAAATCGATAGAATAGTGAGAAACATTCTGCAGTCAATAAAACGACAGCGCAAAGCTCCTCCCAGAGACAATGGTGACGCGCAAGCACGACAGCCCGATGCAGCCTACCTTTGCCAGTCTATTCGCCGCTTCTGCGATCACTATCACCTCTGCGATCATATTTCCACGTCTAGAGAAAGCGCTCGAATAGGAAGAGGCAGAGGATGTGTACGTGTTAATACTGCGGTGGTACTTGATCTTCTACAGAGACATGCGTACACTGAGACGAAGCTCAACGTGTATCGAGCTGTGGGTAGGAACCTTCCAAAAGAGCTGGCTGATATGATCTTGAAGCTTGTGCTGTCCAGTCAAGGTCAGCCAAACGAGCCCGGCATATTTGATCGAGATGGTAAAGCAGTCATTCAATGCGGGGAGACTGTAGAGCTTCGTCGGACCGAGCTTCTTTGATGCAGCTAGGACAGGCCTGAAAAGGTGCTACCGCATAGTGTCGAGACGGTGCCTCCGAGAAAGAGGCATTGACACGAGCAAATGCGTGTCGAAGTTGGGTAGAGCCAGTGGACGCGAAGGGCTGGTGATGTCATACCCCGTGTTCACGCGTAACGCGTCAAGCGACGACGCGACAACACACGATCTCGATCAAAACCACTTGCAGAATCTGAGCACCAACATTCCCATCGCATCGCCATTCAGACGGCCCATCGCAAAAGGTGGAGAAAAGAAAGGGAAACTTTCGCGGTCCACATCGGCAGCCGCGATTCATCATGACATCAAGAACAAAACTAGTGTGGGTACCTGCATGCGATGATGGCATATGGCATTTGCTACAAAACCTCCCCTCACCACGCTTTCGTACCCCGCTTGAAACTTCATCCACAACCTTCAATTGAAAGAATTATCCAGTTACGCACTCTGTAACTCGAAAGCTTTAAACTTCTCGATACTTGTTAGACCAAACCACACAAACTACATATCAAGATGCCTCGCATGGTCGCACCCCCGCCTTCTGGAGAGTTCCAGGTTGTGCTTAGCAAGCCTTTCTCCGGTAAGTTTGTTGGTGTGTAATGAATACAGCTTTCGTACTGACATGATACGCAGGCGCACCCACACACATGATCGAAGTCATCGGCGAGCCCAACCGCCCAGCCAGCATCCGCATGTCCAACTACAACGGCAACTCCAAGTCATCAGAGAAGAAGGGCGATGTACCACAGTACGCTCCTCACAGTCCCCTTCAGCTCAAAGTTCCTTTACTGACTCCATAACAGAGACGACGTCAAGGAGCTCATGTCTCTCATCTCCACACTCCGCGGCTTCCCTTCGCACCCCAGCAAGGACGTCTACGGCCTAGACACCAAGGTCGACTTCAACACAATGGAGATTCAGTGGGGCAACCAGGATGACGATGCTGCCATGGATGGCGGAGAACTCGCTGGAGAGCAGAAGGATGAGTTCAAGAGGATTGTGGATAGCATTGAGGCGCTCGCGAGGCAGTTCGCTAAGCAGGACTCTCCTGTATAAAGGAATAGGGCATATTCGGATGTACAAAGAGATGATGATATGACCAATGAATGAAATAATCATCAACGACCTTCTTTTCGTTGCATATCCACCCTTGCTTGCAAACATCATACATTATGTATCATGAAGGCTATCTGCCACCATGCGCTAACTCATACAGTGGTCTGTCAGACGACAGCTCATTCCTTTGTTCCAGACCATCAACCTCGTGGCTCTCGACGCCCACATACGCGCCAGGCTTGCCTTCATTCGAAGCTGCAAAACCCGCATGTCCGACCAGCAACTCACCTCGAGACATCACTAACCTCGCCTCCACAAGCCGGCGTTTCCTGTTCTCCCAAGAAAGCAGACCAAGCGCGATGAGCAGAGGTATGCCGAGGCCAACACCCAGACCAATCTGGGAGACGGGGATCTCGTCATCTTCGCTACTGCCGTCATCGGGAGCGTTGGCGGGCAGAGTAGGACATTGCGACGAGACCGATGATGCAGTCGGATTCGGATTCGAATCATAAGAAGAAGCGCTTCCCTCAGACACAGCATCCACACCCCAAGGCCTCTGAACCACAAACTCACTCGTCGTATTCCCATCCAACTTGAATCTCTCCCCCTTACAACACTCCTCACTCCCCTTCCCTAGCAAACCGCAGCAAAACTCCCAGCCACTGTTCCAACTGCACAGTCCGATGTCGTTTCCCTCATTGGCGCAGTATTTGGGACACGACCCTTTTCCATTTGCGCCGTCCTTCCAGTCTTTGATCGTGCAGCTGCCGACGTAGAGGGTGCCGAATTGGCTCAGGCAGAGGGTGTCGCCGAGGCAGGTGTCGGTTGTTGAGCAGCAGTGGGAGATGGATTGGGTTGTTGGTGAGGTGCAGGGGTGGTGGTTTGGTGCGATTGAGTTGGAGGAGTCGTAGCATGCGCGTTTGTCGGGTTCGGCGCGTGTAGTAGCGGATGTGAATAAGATGAAAAGGGGGATGGTGAGGCGCATGGTTGGTACATCTGCCGATTCGCGAAGGTGTTTACGAAAAAATGGCAGCCCACAAGGACGGAGGTCAAGCTAGATTTTAAGAGACCGTCAAACAGTATCCCTTTATGTTCGGGGTGTACAAGGCTGGGGTGCCTAATTCCATCTTGGCCCCCCATCATTCCAGTCCTGTTTGCTGAAACCCTTATTGGGGGTTGTCAGCAACCGAGCGTTCTAGTCCCAGATGTGCCTTGCCTAACCGGCGGTAAACATCGTGAGAAAACGGGATTAGGAATGTTGGTCAAGTTTCAAAACTCAACACTTGATCATGCTTATATCGAGGAACTCTTCGCATTTGAAGTAACGAATCGTTGAATCGCGCCAATGAATCCGAATTCCGATCAAAAACGCCATGAGACTCCGGACTGATACAGGAATCAATGATCATCGCATCATGTCCACATTTGATCATATATCCAATCGCAAGCCAAGCTCTCTAAATCTTATACACAATACCTCCAGAGTACATAATCTTGTTCCTCTCGCTCAGAGCCTCAAGTGCCTTTTCGGCCTCATCTTCATCAAACGCTTCGCGTCCATTACCACCACCGAGTCTTGCGTTTACAGCGGCAACCAGCGGCTCGACATCTGCAGCGTCGTTTGCAAACAGCGGACCGTCGATGAGCTGACCAAGTGCTGTTTGGAATACCTGCAGACGTGCCGGCGTAATGCCTTGCGATTCCTGCGATTCGGTTTGTGTAGCGGGTAGTTGCGACTCGGGTTGTGAAGAAGCAGCGCTGACCTGCGACGATTGACCGGCGCGAGAGGACTGTGTACGGTCAGTCGTGCGTTGGGTCCTCGGCGTGACATTGTAAAGGTCCTCGTTGTCTTCTTCCTCGCCGCCTTCCTCCTCGGCTGCAGGAGTGCGCGTGGTCTCTGTACGCTGGCTGCGGGTCGATGGCCCACCGGTGCGGCGAGATTGTGTGGCTTCTTGCTCATCCCCGTCCTCGTCGTCGCCACCGGACGATTCTCCGTCTGTAGACATAGCGTCTGGATCGCGGACTGTCCGTCTTCGCTTGCGGCGGTCGTCCTCGACGACCTCTTTGAACAAGGCAAAACGGAGGATCTGCTCTGCGACGTCTGCATCTTTCTGCTCAACCCGCTTCGACAAACGTGCCTTTGCATGGGCGGTGGAAAGACGGATGAGTGTTTCGAGAGTACGTGCGGTGATGGGGGAAGTACGGCGGGTACCGGCGTCTAGCTCGTCGTTTCGTAGTGCAGAGTACGTTGCCACAATATGATCCGCAGCGCCTTTCGTAAGGATTGGCTTCTCGCGCTTAGCATATTGAATGTATTTCTTGATGAAGGGT